AATGATTTAAAAAGAAATTTTAGCAAAACCAAATTTCTCATATTCACAATGGTTAGCTAATTTTTGTTTTAGTTCAATGGCATATTCAGCAAATTGCTTGATGTCTTGAAATGCATTCTACATCTGAAATAAGAAAATATTAATAAATAAGACATGCAAAAAAAAAACGATATGAACAAATTCGGTATAATTACCGTGAATGCCAGAAAGCAGAGCAGACAGCCGCATATAGTACAAATAAATGTGCTTAGTATGGCAAATTCTAGTGTCGAGTAATTTACAAATTCATTTATTTCTACGAACAAAAATACGTAATAACAAGTGCTCGTTCATCAAAGAATAATGTAATACATTACTCCAAAAACTAAATTGAATTTTATATTAATCTGAAAATCCAAAGTTGTTCATGATGCAACATTAATGCATTTGTTTTTCTTAGTAAATGCGTGTCGTTTTTCTTTATTGCAGAAAGTTCAGTAGAGAGTTGCTCGAATTCTTTATGTGAGATAAACAATAACAATGCTCCTAGAAGTAAGGTAAATCCGATTCCTCCTACGATAACACAAATTTCAATGCAAGCTTGGATGCTGCATAAAAGAGTTTCCCCAATAAATTTCTGTTTTCTTTCTAAACCGTGATACAAAAATAGAAAGAAGAAAATTTGACATGCGATAATGCATACCAATATAATTAAATAAGCGACTAGTGTTACATTTCTGATTAAGCTATTCTCTTCGTAAATCTCTTCGTGTAAAAGTATGGATTTCTTAATTTCTTTTTCAAATCGAATTTTGTGTTTTTGATTAATGTAAATGTAATATAATATAATAATTTCCTACAGTCTACAGATAAGTCATTTATATAATGGATTGTTATAATAGAAAATTAATCGATTAAATTAATTTTTCATTATAAAAATCCATTATATAAAGTACTTATATCTAGGGAAATTAGAATCTCTTAGTCATAATTTCATTAATGATTCTCTAATACAGAAGAATCATGGACTCGAATTTACAAGAAGTTTGTCTGAGCTGTTTCCTTAGTCCTTGTTGGCGAACGGCACTTGTCTTTGGTTTCAATCCATATGAAATTTGCAAATGTCAGAGCAGAATATTCACAAATACAAATTTAATTAATATATTTATTCAGGTAATAGAATTATTTTTATGGGAATTCACGATTCTTGTAATCTGGCAAACGATCCCGTGGTTGAAGAAACACGCAATTTGCAAGGGATGGTATTATGATACATTCATAATTGATCGGACATTGTTTAAAATAACAATTGCCGTTATATATCTATTTTATTCAATTATATTTACATTCATCAAAAACACAAAATTCGATTTGAGAAAGAAATTAAGAAATCCATACTTTTACACGAAGATGATTTACGAAGAGAATAGCTTAATCAGAAATGTTACACTAGTCGTTTATTTAATTATATTGGTATGCATTGTTGTATGCCAAATTTTCTTCTTCCTATTTTTGTATCGCGGTTCAGAAATAAAACAAAAATTTATTGGTGAAACTCTTTTATGCAGCATCCAAGCTTGTGTCGAAATTTGTCTTCTCTCAGGAGGAATCGGATTTACCTTACTTCTAGGAGCATTGTTATTGTTAATCTCTCATAAAGAATTCGAGCAACTCTCTACTGAACTTTCTGCAATAAAGAGAAACGACACGCGTTTACTAAGAAAAACAAATGCATTAACGTTGCATCATGAACAACTTTGGATTTTCGTAAATCAGTTTAACATGAAATACAATTTCATGTTTGGAGTAAGTTATTTCACAATTCTTTGGGGAACTTGTATTTCTTATTATTTACTTCTACTTGTAGAAATAAATGAATTTGTAAATTACTTGATAATAGTATTTACCACAATAAGCACATTTACTTGCATTTTAGCGGGCTGTCTGCTATGCTCTATGGCATTCTCGGTAATTATACCGAATTTATTCATATCTTTTCCTTCGCTGTCTTATTTATTAATATTTTCTTATTTCAGATGCAGAATACATTTCAAGACATCAGGCAATTTGCTGGATGTGCCATTGGACTAAAACAAAAGTTAAAGGTATAAAATTTTCTTAATTAACCTTTAAATGTTTTTTTCGCATTTGCCTTCATCTATTCTGCGGTCACCTTAAGACACTCTTTTAATCATTTTTGTGGTGAATTCATTGAGACCCACGGGGTGGCCGGGTGGTAAAAAACGAGCATGATATATCCAAACAAGCCTCTATTAAATTTTCGAATCAAGCCAGACGTGTTTTTTCCTAAAGACCAACCAACCCTGACAACACACGTTAGGTCTAGATAAAATGATGCGATAACGCCCACAGAGCTGGGAATCAAAATGGAAAAAATTCATTTCATTTCAATTCTCATCTTTGCAGATTCTTAATTTTATGAAAAGATTCGGGAAGGACAGTCTATGTGTTTCGATAGGAGGATTCTTGATCATTGATAAGAAGATCCCTTTCAGTGTTTGTTTATTTGTTATGTTGCATAAATACAATTTGTTGTTTAATTGTTAAAGCATCTGATGATTGACTAAATTTTTCATTTCAGATGGCACATACATTATATTCCATTTTTTCCGGTCTCTTAAAACTGAAAAATGCTTCAAATAAAATCCAAAAATGCTACCAGATTTACGAAGTGAATTCCACAGAATTCATTTAAAACATTTTTTACAAAATATTTCAACAAAATGGCAAAGAATTTAGTAAGAGAACAACGAAAAAATATGAATCGATTAGGGACTATCGCAACGTGTCGTCCCCTTCATAACAGAGTGACACCATGACACTAGACGAAAGACTAGCATTCAACAAAAAATCAGAAGCTGTTCAGAAGAGAAATGTTTACGTTATGAAAGAGATGGAAGAGAATCATGAGTAGCGATCAACGATAAAATAACATGCAAAATACCGTTTGCAGTAGTGGGAAGGGAGAAGCAGCACGGGATCAGCAGGAACATGAATCGTTGGAGCTTCGTAAACATCGAACATTAAAAACATTGTGAATGTTCGGACTTCAGAGACATGAAGACTCATATGATCGAACTTATAAGATCATATTTTTATGAAAGATTTCAGCACGACACTCTTAACATCAGAAAACGAAAGTGTAGATGAAAAAAGTATTTTGGATCAGAATATCAGCGAAAGACCAAATTATTTTAGTAGGAAGACATTAACACGACGATTAACGAGATCACGACGTGGAAGGGATTCTGTTTTGCAAGTATTATCAAAGAAAATAGTATCGCTACAGAACCAGAACAATGAATGTTTAATTAATTAAATAATATGTCCATATTTAGAGATATAAACGCGAAGAAAACCCGTAAAACTCCTCGTGGCCAGTCCATTGGAATGCGCGATGCCATGTCCAACTACCAGTGAATATTGTTAGTTGGTCGTGGTTTCGCGCCTTTCAACGGACCAGTGCCAAGAAGTTTTACAACTTGACTTGGCAACTGGTGGGCCTCAAAGATGAAACAATGACCAAAAATGTAAAACTGGTGTATTAGTTACTAAAAATATGTATATAAAATTAGCGTTAGAATGTCAGAATTGTCCATTGTAGATAATATTTAGTCTCGAATTTGTGTTAAAAAATAATCGTTTCGAGTTTAAAGAAAAGAATGGAATGCTGTGGGGTAGGTAGTTGTATCGGCCCCAACTTGGCAGAAATAACAATAGTTATAATAGATAATATAATAAAACAGATAAGAGAAGTTATTTTTCATGTCAGATATATAGATGATTGTTTTATGTTAATTCGGAGGAAATGAGTGTTGAAAATTTAACAAATAAATAAATAATTTACATACAAAATGTGTGTTTGAAATAGAAGGAGAAAAGAATAGATTAGATTATTTACATTTAACAATAAACGGAGATAGTAAATACAGTATCAATAAATTCATAACAAATGTCAAATACAAAAAAAATCCAGCTATGCGTTGCGCAACTTTCATGGCAAAATAATTTAAAATAGAGTACATTTATTCAAGCTACCCCATTGTGATAGCTTGAATAAATAAATAGACTAGAGAATTGAAATTCAGAAAATGATTATTATTAAACTGTTATCCGAAAGATTTTTTAATTATCCTTTAGTTTTACGATAAGAATAGTTTATGCAGTACAATTATACTAAAATTTTTGCCATCTCCAACATGACGAAAGTTCTCTTACAAGTATATCACTCTACAGTAAAGAGGTGCTCCAATGTGATTAAACGTAATGGAATAGATTTGCCACTTTAGAAAGACTTCGGTATACAATTAATTCCAAGAAGTTTTTATCTGTGAAAAAACATTTGCATTCGTTTTAAGTGTTATAATGCGAAAATAATCATCTTAATATGAAGTAAAGCCAACCTTCCAGTTTAGTCTCATCTGCATCTAGGGTAATATTCTTATTGCGTTTTAATAAGCAATACGAATGAAAAGTTAGTGTATATCCCTCATACAGGCTACAAAATTTAACTTATAGTTTTACGATAAGAATAATCTATGAAAAAAAGCTTAAAAGTCATCGGTGTGATTCGGGACTTTCGTGTTTTCAGCGTTTCACAAAACACGTTCCTGCTGAGCCAGAGGATATCTGGTTCGAGAGTACTTTACGAAGAACTTCGAGAGGTTTCTTCTGCTTTTTCTGCTTAAACAAACATGTTGGCAATCATGCACGAGGAAAAAAGAGCTATTTTTTTTTATGGAAAAACTTCAAAGCTGATGCGAACAGTGGTAAATCATCTTCACTTTTCTTCCGCTTTATTTTCTCATGATATTGCCATAGGAGGAACATAAAAACATACAATTCGTAAGCAACTTATCTTTGATCTTGGACGACTGGTTACAGAAAATTTTGAAAGGACGCTTATTTGATGCAATTTCAAGTATTGTAATGAACAGATTGAAAGTTAACAATTTCTTTTTAAATATTTATTTATTAATAAATAAGAGTGAAAAGGTCAACATTATAGATTTTCGCGCTAACTAATGTCTTAATATTGCAGAAAAAAATTTAACAGAACGACAAAATATAGTTTACACATAACTATAAAAACTAGACTTTCACTATTTTTGAAGTATTGTTTGATACAGTATTATGTTTAAGTAAACCTTCTTTAGCAAGAACAATTCTTACAGATTATTATATTAATAAGAATTTATACAGTATATATCAGATTATTTATAACAATAAACCTGTATAAAATTTTTATTTGCTAGCTGCCAGGAAATTCATTTCTAAACTAGAAAACTTCTTTAGCTTAATGGCTGTGTTCCAATTAAAAAAAAAAATTGTTTTTATAAAACAAAGTAAAAAGTTTTTCTTCTCATATATAAAACAATAGTGATTAATTATTCTCATATAAATTCGTTTCGTTTCCTTAAAGAATACAATACGATGGAGCAATATATTCTTCCAATTTTTCTTCACAAAAATATTTTCAGTTCGTAATAGTAGGTTCACTTATTCCGTAATTCCAAGCAACAATTCTAAATAAATTGATAATAAAAAGTAGATGATTACATATTCATCTATTTTCAAAAATAAATATGCATTAAAATGTTAATGGAAACATTCTATCATGATAAATTAATTTCCATAGCTTATCGCATTTGTGCACAAAATTAGTTGTTACTGGATTCAGATAGTAGAATGATTCTTCAATTGCAATTAATTAAAAAAAATATAGAGCTAGATTTCTTTTTAAAATGAGATTTGTATATGGGTTATTTAATTGTGATGTCTGCATCCAGTCATAAAATTCGTACATATAAGGGATTTTATGACTGGGTGGGAAGTGTAAGTATAGTGATTCTCAAAAATGTTCCTATTTGAAAAAATTATTTTATCAAAATCATTATGCATGAATATTTTGATCAACGATCACACAACAATAGTATATTATGTAATTAGTTTATAATATAGGCGATTTTGGCTTGAATGGAAGTTTGGCACGCGAGCGGAGCGAGTGGTCCAATCTCCATGAATGCTATAATCGCTAATTATAAACGAATTGTCATACGATATTTTGTGGTTAGACTACACCTATAACACTACCTATGAAACTCAAAATTATGTATAAACAGTGTTTGTGGCACCCGGCCATAAAAATTTTGTGGTACGGGACACTATTTAAACACGATTTTGAGTTCCATAAGTATACTGTAGTGTTTTAGGTGTAGTCAACCATAAAAAAATTTCGTCTAAACGTGATATAAAATTAAAGTTTCTTTGATAAGTAAGGGAAATCCATTTTTATTTATTTTATATCCATTTTGCTTTCATTGTTTTTTTTCTATACCCAGGCTGTCAAGAGAGAGAGGGAAGCTGGAAGTTTTCCTATAAACAGAAAACTTAAGAGCCCTTAGTGGTACGTACAGTACTTTTATAAATTAATGTTATTTTTCATAACAGAAATAAATTATAAAGAAATATTCTACGTATTTCATTTATTAAAAAATAAAAAAACAGAAAAGCATCCGCTATACCCCAGTAACAAACGAATATTTCGAAGCCCTATATATGGCACTCGAAGATGGGTTGGCGATCCTACATTTATTTTGTGATTAACTCAATTCTATCTTTGGCCCAACTATTTACATGTAGTAAATGAAACCGAAGAAAAAATAATTTTGAATTTTGTTCGTACGAAATTAAAAATTACGTTACGAACAATTTACATAAGAATTTTATGATTAGTAATCCTTCCATAAAGCGGCCGGATGGCCGAGCGGTCAAGGTGGCAGCCTACCGCTTCGACTGAAATAATTAAATCCTAAATATGCGGCCGGATGGCCGAGCGGTCAAGGTGGCAGCCTACCGCTCTAGGGGTCGAAAAATCCCCAGGAATTTTTCGGGGGGATGGTCCGTTCGGATATGTCGGGCCCCGTCCCTCACCATCCGGCAGCCGCACTGTGGGCCTGGCCGAACCCATAATGGACTTGCAAAAAGAGACCCTCTTAGTGCCCACAGGGCGGAGAGTTAAAAAAAATCTTCCATGATGTATTGTTTCTTTTAATGCATCCTATTCATGTTGTATTATCTTATTATTACTTTAATATATTTTTTGATCTTTAATTGTATTTTAATTTACTTGTATATGTGTAAGCTGACTTTTAGCATTAATCCTTGTTCTGATGTCAGCATGTTTTGCTTATTTATGAAAGATTTATTTGTGGATAGTGATAAAGCGTTATATTGTGTAAAATCTACTTAAATAAATAAATAAATTAGTTAAAATATATTTTGTCTGAAAAATTGATATTCTAAAATTTAAATACCTTTGTTTCCTTAATTTATTAATATAAAGTTAAAACATCAATTAGGACTTATTTATTATTAGAACTTATTATACTGGATAACTGGTTCTGCAAATTAAGTAAACAAAGTCAGAAAAACAGTCTTTATTTATCACCTTTGTTTATTTAATTTGTACAACCAGTTATCCAGTATAATAAGTCCTAATTGACGTTTTAAGTTTAAATTAATTGATATTCTTCTTTTTATTAATTAGTTTAACCTCTGAATACCGGACACCATCGAGACCGAGAAGTTTATCCTCTATTTAGAGGTAAATATAATAGATGTTCTATTTGAAGAGTCTGGAGATCGTAAAAAACGTTAAGTAGAGGTGTCCGCTATTCTGGAGTGTCCGTTAATGCAGGTTTCACTGTACTTACTTTATGCAATGGACGAATGTATCTAGGAGCTCTGGAGCAACGACGTTCTTCTTTATCGTAGAATGTAAATGCATCTAGAAAAGACCAGCAGACGCCAGAAACGATTAATATTGAAAATATATTAGCTAACGTTTCATTGCACTCTTCTTGCTCAAATCCGAAGTAGACGAGATCCGTTGCCACGATGGCAAACGTAATATAAAATAAAAGTATCAAACAGTCAAATAACCGCGATTTCATCCTTCTGTTATAGCGAAGAAATAATTGAACGTGTATACAAACATTCAACACTTGCCACAATGTTAAATTGACGCTAATGCTATACATTTAAAAAAAAAAATTGATTAAATATACTGTACCTTAAAAAATTCTTACAGCAGACGATAATTGAATGATGCGCCACACCAAAATTAACTTGATATTAACGTTGTTAAATTATCGGCGTTATTTGAAGTTCATAAATTTTAATAAAAACATTCAATTAATATACATAGAATTTTATGTTTACAGAATTAATATTTAAATAAAATTTCAATGTAATTTTAAACTAATTTTACATTTTTTTATTTGAGTTGGCAACACGTTACAGAAGTGCGGTGGATATGTTTTTTAACACGTGCTTTAGAGGTGATCTATCACTTATTGGATACATTTAAAATCAACACTTATCTTTCTAAACTATTCGATTTCTGATAATTATTGTTGTTTATTATACGTTGAGGTGTGTAACGTTAGGATTCGATGTACTTTTTAATGATATGATCTTAGAAAGTTGGCGTTCTTTTTTTTCGTTCATGTATACAATCATTTGACTCAGCACCTACGAGAATTTTACAGATCACTGGAAACGTATTTGTCATACACTAGTGATGTAACGAATATTCGGTTACTATTCAGCCTGTTTTTCACTATTCGGCCGAATACCGAATACCTAAAAACAGGAATAATAAATAACAAAAACACAGTAAATTAATAATTTTGGTATTTAGATTTAATGTTATCGAGTTAGTGTTGTTTGTTTATATTTATTTATAACTTGTAACATGCACAAAATAAAAAAGAAAATAATATTAGTCACATGTATTCACAATTTATAATTACAAAGATCAGCACACGTACACGTCTATCGTTGGAGAATCCTCGCACATCTGAGGGTCTGACCCTGCCTATCCTTTTTAAGCGCTCGTCTTTGCTCTTCCCTTTCTCTTTCCTCTATCGCTCTAAT